AGTCTTATATTGATTTGAATTGAATTCGTTGCGCTATGCTGCTTTGTTCACTGTGGCAATCCAGACTGGGCACCCTCTATCAACCTGGGTCATACTGAGTTTAAAGCTGCTACCACAGCGAGATTTGATCGGTTGAGAGAGAGAGAGCGGTATCAAAACAGCCACGAAAAGTCCCGCATATATGTGCCCAAGTGTTGTATTGAAGCAATCAAGTGATGAATAACTGTTTTCAAGTAAGTTGTTTTGCAATGGTTATTATTATTATTATTATTTTTTGCATTGTTGATTTGTTTTTCACCGAAGCAGCTAATAAAGCATAGTGGATTTTTACAATTTTGCCTGTTTCTTGTAAGATTCTATAATAGAATGAAACAATAATGCCAGTTATAAATAAAGACAATAAATTGAATGAATTACGAAACACTTATTTTATTTCTACTGGATCTGAAAATGTTGTGTAATACTACAACCTGAAAAGACAAATAGATTGTGTTTGCCTGTACAGGAGATAAAGAGAAAAAAAAAATAACAACAGCTGTGAAATGGAATAGTCCAAATCACCAAAGTAAACTGGACCTGGGCTTGTTGCAGGGATCTGAAGTTACTAAACATTTTGTGAGTGTATGCACTCACACTTAGGACCATATAATAATAAATATGTGCATGATAAAAGTTGGGCAGCACACTAACGTCCTTACTCTACTCTGTATGCTCGTATGGGTCTGATGGTTTGCCTTTTCGTCAAGTCTGTCTTTGTACGGACCTGTTGTGTTCTCCGTCGTTTTGTACATAACCGTTTTAGGGGCAAATAAAATGCAAGCAGGGATTAAAACCGCAGAATTAATGATTACCGGTGCTGGAAATGCTAACGCTTGATGCAGTGTTTTGATTTTGCTGCCAGTCGTACCTACAATGCAATGCGCGAAAGTCACGTGGTCTGTCAATCTCTATACAGTCTGTGGTGTCTGTATAGGCGAGAGGCGTGTGTTTGTAGGAGCCAGTTTGACTTTTGAGTATGAAGACTTGACTTTAAGTAATTATGCATTGATACCTCCATGGAGCAGCAGAGGACTGCGTCTTCCTTAACATCCGTTGACTCTAGCAGCTGCAAAGGACAAGAACAGACACTGTAAGACTTACAAAGTAAAGGGCTGCGCAAACTAGCACAACACAAGTCCAGAAGTAGCACAGTAGAAATGATGGAAGATGCACTGTATACATACAAAATCTCTGATTTAAACCACTTGATGAAGAGAACAGGAAAATGTGTTCATGAGTTCACAAAGAAACGGGGAGGGACCTAATTCTGATTGTAAATATTTTTGACATTAACATTTTAAATCCCGGAAGACAACACACTGAGCTTCCAGGCTGCCAGCAAACATCACACATCATGCCTTCCTTTACGCACAATGTACATACACACGCAGTAGCACACACACGTAAACACACAGCGTGGCCAAAAACAAACAGTGGATTGGGTAAACATGCTAGCCCCCTCCCACCCACTACCACACACACACACACACACCGATGTTGGCCCGCATGCACAGATGGGCATACAAATACCCCCCTGAAACAATGCAGGCAGAGAGAGGTAGAATAACATTATGCCAGAATACGAGCTTCTAGGTTCAGTTTACAGCAGAAGAGACTTTGGCTAAATGCTCAACTCTAATGCTGCCTTAGTCTTCATAACACTGTTTACAAAGCTCTGCTTTGATTAAACTGATGGAGGGAAGGAAGTACCATGGAGGAAGGGGGAGCGTGTTTTGAAAATGAGGAAAATACTGTCACGCATCAATGCGCCGTACAGCGACAGAGTAAAGGAAAAAATAAGTGAGATCACGGAGGGAATAAACAGGACATCACCTTGTTCAGGAGAACGACCCATAAATCCAATTTGTTTTTCAATGCTAACTGTATATAAAAATGTTCAATCTCTTATATGGTTTATCACCTGAATCTGTATTACCTAACATACTGTCCTACAGCTTAGCAGTGTTGGCTCACTCTCAAAAAAACAGAAAAGAAAAGCTTTTTAAACCCACTGCATGCTACCAGACTGCAGACAGACACAATTAGCAACCAGCTGATGGGCAGAGAGCAGCATGAAATTGCCAAATCCCGATATTTCACACAGGAATTGGTGCATCTTAAAATTGGGAGTTTAAAAAAAATGGCAGACTGACTCTCCATAAAGGCTCATGTTGCTCTGAAGCTATTCAATGATTAAAGCAAACAATTTTGTATGAATAATTTCACTATAAAAAAGGCAATGATATAATATGTGAGTACTAGATAGAATGCACCATAGAGACTCCAACCCACTCAAGTAACCCAACTTCAGTATTTCAGAGCTGAATAACACAATCACCGTGTTTTCATTTTAAAACTGAGCAGACAAACCAAACCCTGTTTAAATGCATGCTTTAGGAAAGACGCTGTGATCAAAACCAGTCATTCAAATGTCTGACTCTTCAGAAGTGAAAACATTTTTTAAAAAAAAGTAATCCTCCACCATTTGATGCTATGCACCACATTCACTGTGAGCAGGCCTCTTATTTCCACACTGTAAGCTTAATGGTATTCCACCTATCATTTAGGTCCAACAGTTGCTCAGACGTCAGCTCCTCAGTATGCTCAGACGGGTGTGGTGACAGTGTGGCTGTTTGATGTGGAAACTCAAGTCCCGTCCTTTTCCAGAGCAGGAGAACTATGTGACAAGCGGGATTAGCTCATAATGAGTTCCCCGGGGAACCGAGGGAGGAAGTTTTGTTCAATACACTTATAACGATCTAATCTATACTCATCTATCATCGGCTTTCCTATCCGTTGCAATAAGCTTTTCCTCTCTTCTCTCTCCTGTCACTGCTGCACCGTAACACATGGTGTGTTCCAGCTGAAAAATCAGCATTTAAAAAAAAACGTTTTTGAGAGACAGCTTAACACTCAGTCTCTCCGGCTGAAGTTGAAAACACTCGGATGTCTGGTTGGTTATATCATCAAGAAACTAATCTTACTGACATGGGAAAACCCGGGATTCTGTGTGACTTCCATTTACAGTATTTCTATTTAAAAGACATCAGGATTAGAAAATGCAGCCGTCTTATTTTGTTTCCCTTTGATCGTTTCACAGCACTGAAGAGAAGAAATAAATCCAAACACTCATTTAAGTCACTCTGTGAGTGACTTAAATGAGTTTGGGCTTCACGTGCGCATTAGTATATCTTCAAGGTTGTATCTTCAATAACTGCAGCACGGGATGAAGCAGAGCGAAACATGCTTTATTAAAAACACACAAACGCGAAGGATTCTGACGTACTAGACAAAACTGGAATTCACGCTTCAGGACCGGCCCCATATGTGTCTGGTATCTGTTATAATTTAATTTAATTCAGTTTTATTTATGTAGCACCAAATCCCAACAACAGTTGCCTCAAGGCACTTTATACTGTAAGGTAAACACCTACAATAATACAGAGTTTAACAATACAAGACTGTTAAACTTTTCCCCCCTTGAAAACCCTGAAAGTTGTCTTCTGAACTGAGTGGTTTCTGTCATAGAACAAAATGACTGAGTGTGCATCAGAAGTAAGCGGAAACTATTCTAATGATTGTCTAACCACGTCTTTATTAATACATACTGACGTGTCAACTTGTCGTTAAGAGTACAGAGGTTGTCAAATCTTAATGGGGGGAAAAAGTTAAAATCCACTGAACAAGTTAGTAAACAGCTACTGGTAGCTTTCTAAGAGGGAAGCCAAAGGTCCATATAAATAGGTCCTGATGTCACCACCGGAGGGTATGTACATGCTGTCTCCCAGGAGTGACTGCAAACCAATATCCTGATGACGACTTCTATGGGTCACATGATCACATGATGATCTTTTGGGGTAGAATCATGAGCCACACTGCATCACAGTTTTTCCCCTTCATTTGAAAATAACAGAGTTGAACTCAAGTGATTCAATAATTGGTAGTGTGTATGATTACTGGTACACCCAGCTGCTTTAACTCAAGGCTAAAGGTCCAAGTCAAAAATCTTTGATATGATTTTTATTAAGTTCTGACCTGAAGGGTTTTTGCCAACCTTTGTTACCATGGCAACATATTAAAAAAGTAGTAAGCCCAAGAGACAAAAAGATAGATGAACATGTCATTTTAATTGTGCTACAACGCATGCACAGCTGTAGAACGGGTCACTTAATCTAGCAAAATAAGCAGCTAGTTGGTGAGCAGTCACAGATCAACTGAGCTAAAAAGGACAGCAGGTCCTGGAGTTTGAGTCAAAAGTAGGACTCAAACAAATGCAAATATTGCTCTGTAATGGCAGAATGTGTCAATTGGAAAAAAGTCATTCGTTTTAAGGTGTGCTTTAAATTTAATTTTACTTGAGGATTATGTCTTTTAGTTTGTTCTGTGCGGGGCAAATCTTCCATTTGATTGGAGCTATAGCAGCCTGTCAGTTATTAATGGATGGGATCAGCACTCATTAATTTGCTCTGGCTATAGGAGCTGGCATTTAAGCCCAAACACTAACACACCTTTGCTGTTACCTGATCCTGTTGTGCAGGCTAAGTTTACTGGAGAAGTGTCTCCTCTGCAGGGACATATGTATGCATATGCAAACACTTAGACCGCATGTATAAGGCGGGTGTGCGTGTGCATGTGCAAACACCTATTGCACATAGCTTGTACCAAGAATCTGACAAGCGCATGTTACAACAGGACAATCAAAACAGCGGCCAGATCAAAGTCAGGAAGACTGTCTCTAGGAAACTGATTATTAGACCGAGTATGTGGGCTTGAAAACACACACGCACGCGCACGCACGCACACACACACACACACACACACACCATATATCGTCATTATTAGTGTTTAAGTTGTTCACAGGCGCCTTCTGACCTCTAGTCTTCTCGGGGCTCCCTTCTTACTGCTGATGTAGATTATAGAGGTGTGTTTGTGTGTATTGCTGACTGGTTAGTCCACACCCTTGGTCATGCTGTTGAGCCTTTTAACAAGCCTGAGATAAAGCCCTGGGCATACCCTCAGACAGGGTGTGGATGGCTCAAACTGTTTGCGATTGTTTTGTTTGTTAATGAGACGCCAGGTGTGTTCAAACTACGCTAGAAATATGGAAGTGAAACAAAAGCTGAATTTCAGAATCCAGCCCTCCACCCTCACCAGAAAAATGCACGCACTGTGTAGGAGTTAAAAATAATGTCACCAAATATCCAGCATAGATGCTGGGAGGCTGACGCCTCTTTGCCTGCGAGGAGGTCCTCTGTTTAACCAGCTCCGACTGTTGGGCTGTTGTTCCTTTTGTACTACATCACTTGATCTGGGGCTTGGCTAAGATCTCACTGGCTAGATTTTCTAATGCCTGGAAAAACAGAACAAAAAAAGGGGGTGCAGAGGTCTCCAATTACCCCACTTGAATTTCAATATGAGGAAATGTTCTCCAGTGATGCCAAAAAATTACTTGTCTCCCTGAGGGCTGGACAATATGTTTTCAAATCAGATGCGGGGAGGTTTGAAGTGTCATTACACGAATCCTTTTGTTCCGTATAGAGTTCACTTCTATCTCCTCTCACCCATGCAACCAAACCTCACTCTCCTTCTGCTGATCCGACAACAAATAGAACTTCATCTCACAGCTGCATGTGGTGCAGCAGATGATAGAATTTGTTAATGTAAAATCACATTAAGAAGATACAAACAACAAAAGAAATATCATAAAGAATCTTACTATAATGATTGTAGTGTACATATGACTGTCTCTGCCCCATCTCCTCCTTATTGGGTGGGCCTATCTGAATGAAACTTTGTCACACATACAGCAATTTTTAACATCTCCATCTTTTTAAAATGGATTTCTTATAAATCCCAATTGTTTTGATTCTCATGTTCATCATCCCTCTGTGAATGCCATGTTATTCTATGCGGTCCGAAATGCATGTCCGCGGTGGACGTTTGTTCAACTCACCGCTAAATGTGGGATGAAGAATTAGAAAAATTGCCGCTAGCAAAAGAAGTGGAGTCTGCCTCTGTGAGTTAATGCTTACTGCGATCATTGAAGGGAATACACACTAACCCTCACAGCCTTATTCAGTTATTTGACTTAGTGTTGCCATGTGATTCGTTGATTTAAATACTTGCGTTAAGGAGCAGTTGAACAGGTGTACCTAACCAAGCAGTGATGCTATTTTGTGGATGTATATTTTTGGACAGTGTTCAGACTAGTTCCTACACCTGACCTTGTTTTTCCTCTCTCGTTCAGACCCTGTATTAAAACCAAACTTCCTCTCTGCTGGTTTCTTTTTTACCTGTTGTGCCATGAGTTGACAGTCAACCTGAGCCACAGTCTCCCCCACTTCCCCTCACCTCCCTCACCTCGCTTGCTTCCCCTTTCAGTATTTCATTTGTCATTAACCACTTCTGTATCACCCGTGCGTCTGCTGCGGCTTCCCTTAATGGTTTCCATGGAGACCGAGAGAGTGTGTCTAAGTGAGCAAGACCAGCTGATGAGAAGTGAACCTGGGGTCACAAAATTTTACTGGAACTGATGGTGTCCTGGCTGTTTTTGCACCACTAACCAAACAGAGCTGTGGTTTCAAGAGTCTAGACTGAGTCTGGCCAAAAACAGGAAACTCTGATTCAGTGCATGTATTGAACTGAGCAGGCACGATACAGAGCTGGGCACTTTCTTTTATTCGAAAAGCGTGAAAGGGGTTGATAATTTTGGCTAGTGACCTAAAAGAAAACGGATACAAACCTCTCGTAGACAAGTGTAGATGGGACACACCAGCACCCTGAATGGCTCGCCGGAGCTCCTCATGGTACCAAACACTTCGCACAAGAAGGTGATGAAACCCAACCACCGCTCCACATCTGACTGCTGGAGCTCCTCGCGACGGGAAAAATCCCTCTGAGTGGAAAAAGGATGCTTGGTTAGTTTAGAAAACACACTGAAACATTCCCGGTTATCCAGCTTCAGTAGCTGTGTAGTACAAGTAGGCAGTGGGTAGGTAGGTGTTAAATTCATAAGTGAAGATGGTTAACCATCTTCCTGGCAGAACCATTAATCATTATTAACAACTTTTCCATCTCTCTAATGGGATTTTTTGGTAGGTGGCACATATATTAACCTTGTTCCTCAACGTACTTGAAGCCAAAAAGCAGCTTGAAAATGCATTAAACAAATTCCCAAATTTCTTTTAACTGCCAGAAGTGGAGGCGAGTGTGTTAATTTAGTGAACCCTGCACAACAGAAGTGAAGCGTGGTGAACTGTGTGGTGCTGTTAAAGTGCCGGGGTCAATATGTGTTAATGCTTAATGTGCACTTGTAAAGATGTTATTCAGCAGATTAAAGTGAAACTTTATTAACAGTCAGAGCCGCTCGCTCTGCTGCCTGTTGGGCTGCTGAACGGCTACACTAAAAGTCTGCCTGTGCACAAACAACGGAGACGTAAAGAGGTTTGGCAGGAAGCTCCGCCCACTTAAAAACAAGCGCAACACGCGCTCAAAATTAAACTAAAATGATTCAGCAAATTATCATATCATATTATAATATCAAAAGGTGTCAACAGTAATAGACAAAAAGGGGCCCCTGGGACTTCTGAGCTGTGTTAAATATTTCATTATGAGAAAGTCTGACTATGTTCAAGCAAAGCCACAGCAGACGCACAGTAATTCCACCCCATACTGAGATCCAGGGGTCTGAAAGCAGCATCATTAATTAAAGCTTTCATGAGCCCACTTATGACATTTACAATGTTTTGAAGCAAAAAAAAAAAAAAAAGTCAAAATGTCAAAGACAAGGGGGGAGGGGGGGCATGTTGGCTGGCTAACTAGGAAGTGGATTTTAAAGTGAGGAATAAAAGAAAAGAAGGGACCTCACAGCTGAGATGAAGAGGGGGTGAATAAAAAAAAGGCGGGGGGGTGTAAAATGATTAAGGCAAGATTCACTGCTGCTGGATTTGGGATAAAAACAAGTTTAACATCTAAAGGAAGAGGTGGAAAAACACTAAAGCTCAAGGGAGGAGGAAAAAGAAGAGCGTAGGAGTACAGGGGGGGCATAGAAGCGAATGGGTTAATGTTTAGTCCTTGCCGGCATCAAGGATGTGTTGTATGTCTACTTCTAGTTTGTCTGCTGCTCTCAGGAGTTTGCGAAGGGCGAAAGGAAAAGTTTGGCGGGCGAGAGATGCACTTGGGAACTATGCAGGATGAAGTAGTGAGGCAGTGGCCTGTGTCATTCTGGGTGAGGGGAGGGTGATAAGATGGGGCAGCTCTGGAATACAGAGCTCATGAGGGATGAGGAGGAAGGGGGAGTGAAGTATGCAACGGCGAAGGGGATGTTTTCACGGAGGGTGCGAGACTGGTTCGGTGCAGTTAAGTGAAGACACGGAGGGGGAAAAGGGGGAACGGGTTTCTTTCTTCCCCCCTGGGTGTTTAGATTAGCTGCTGTGCCCACTGACATTTACAGCGTCTCACACACAAACACACACAGTGGGCTTCCACCTGAACATTCTCAAAAAAGCAAAGCTTGAAAGAAGCTGCTGAAATGACAGATTATTATGTTAAAACATAGAGTATAAAATATGATGTTTAATGCTCATTTAAACTCCTTGTTTACAATAACTCATGCATTTCAAGGCATAAAATGGCAGGTACAGTCAGGGGGATTCAAACATTAAAGCAATAGACTTTGGACAAAAGAGTTTCAGGGTCATTATTGCTTCATCTGAAAATGCTGTTTTGGTTAATCAATTAAAAGTGTTTAGTCTATTCCCAAAATATATAAAAATGATTCAGAGTAGAGGTTTTGTTGTTCTACAAACAATTAAATATGAAACTGTTTTCTGCTTAATTTTTAATGATTAACTGCAAAAATGGTTTAGCTGGAAGTTCAACAGTGTGACATGGATTTAAAATATCTAAATTCAGATTTACCAGATTTATCATTTTGACCAATTTATCATAGTTACTAATGTTCTCACAAACAGATTGGATACAATTGCCAATGCCACCCGATTCACTTGCAGACTTACTGACTGACTCCATCTGCCTTTTTTGATGCAACAACGTTGTTTTAAAACCACTAACTAACTGCAAGTGGTCACAGACCTCATCCCCATCTTCAAAGCAGCTATTTGAAAAGGCAACAGGCTCTCAAGTTCATTGCACATGGTTGCAAACACTGTTGTTTTTTTAAGAACAGTTTAGCACACAACGTTTTTTTTGGTAAAAGTTGCTATTTTAAAAAATCCCCCCCCCCCAAAACAAATAAAAAAAATAAAATAAATTACACCTGCTTCAGTATTTAGAGAAAACATTAAGGAGCCAGGATAAGCTTTGGACGCCGTTGTTGTCATCTCACCTGCAGCATGTTGAGCAGCAGCGATCTAAACTTGGTCCCCTCCACCATGAACAGCGCCATCTTGTCGCAGAGCCTCGCAGCTGTTGCCGCGAAGCTCCTGTCCGACACGGCCTTTGAGTAGATCGCGCCGACCACCTGAGCGAGGGTTTCCTCCGAACGGGCTGAGGACTGCGCCTCCTCCATGAAGGACGCCAGCTGTTGCTCTACTCCACTGCTGTTGCTCCTCATGCTGTTGAGAAGCGCCACTAGCCGGTCCATATTCCGTGATCCGGGGCCCGACTGCTGCACGCATGCTTCCTCCTGAGGGGAAAGACGGGATAATGCATGTAAGTGGTTGGTGAGGATAATGATATTAGATTCAGAGCACAGTAGATTTCAACACAAATCAGATGTTCCTACAGAGAAATAAATGTCAGCTAATCTGACACATGAGTTGCGATGAATGACAAAGCAAGTTGAGTTAATGAGAATGTTTAGGAAGTTTATACGTCATATTTCTTTCCTTAGGGAAGTCCTAAGTCCTAAAGTCCTGAATATGTGGACAGACATATTAAAGCTCATTTGAAGCTTAAATAGCAAATGCTTCAAAAATGGTACAGTTTCACAGTGATGCATTACTCTGACTAGGAATGATCTCTCATGTGAAATTAAACACCATTGAACTTTTCTGTTTTGGGTTTTTTCTGTTTTACAAGGTCTCTCACAGCGGAGAAAAAGTCCTGGCTTCATGTGACAGTCATTGTTATATTTCTTGTTGAAACACATCCCAAGAACCTCTGACAGTTCCATGTTTGGGTACAGACACTTTTTGTACTGGGTTGACTGACTTGGTCAGTGGAAAAAGGGTCAGCAGTTAAGTTCAGTGATGTACACGGGCCACAGCTTTCAACATTTTCTTCTTTATAAGCTGTCATATGATGATTTTTTTTGTTTTTTGCTGAAACATTCCTCTTCTATCATGTCCTTGACACTCCCACAGAAACTGTCACAGAAACCCTAATTTACATTCATAACCACTCAAGATTTTTCACATAGAGCACTATCTGGGGTGTTATTTTAAGTGGATAGCCACCCTGGCTCCGATTATTGCTATGTTGGCTCAGTAGACATAGAGTGAGCCAAGGCAGGTATGACTGATACTGTATTTCCAGTTTTCCTATATCCTTTTCCAATAACGTTCTGGTTCAAAGGCAAGTTTATAACTATGTTTATAATTAAGCTGATTAGACAAAGAGAGATAAATCACAGGTATATCCATTTTTCTTACATTGAGCCTTTGTACCTGTTAACTGTATTATTAACTGTATTGTTACACATTGTTTTCCATTGTTAACTGTCAATGCCACTGGGAAAAAAAGTGTAGGAGTATGAGTGAAAGGAGGGAAAAGAACAAAGCAGGCAGTGGGTTCGTTATCATTTAAATTATAATGTGTTTCCCTTGCTCAGCTACCATTCTAACAAAGCCGGGAAAGGGTTGCAGAGATGCACCTCCTAAACTGGTGACCAGAAATAGGATGGGCCCACCTGCCCCATCCCTCTCGCCACAGAGGAATCCTGGCAGAAACTGATGCGAGGAGGCCAGCGTGAGCAGCAAGGTGGCCGTTTCATTTCACTCGATTTCAGGTGGCTCGAGTATTGGGGGAAAAAAAAAAAAGTAAAAAATTGAGTCTGATCTAGTGGGAGGCCCTGCTGCTGCTCGTATTAGATGAATAAATTCACCTTCCACCTGTTCCCTGCTCATCTCGCTGTGTGCACGCAGAGTTGTAGCAAAATATATTTGATTTAAAATCGTCTGCAATCAGACTACTGCCAAGCAACAGATTGTGTAGCCCTGCTGAAAGCGCATGACTTGTAACCCAGTCAAGGTTTTGCAAAATGTTGCGAATACACCAGGTTTTGTCACCAGTTAGGAAAAAACGTTATTGCAAACAACGATGATGCAAACATTAGATGTATTTCTCGGTGCATCCCATCAACCAAAAGTTCCCTTCTAGACTGGTTTCACTGATTCACTGGCATCACAGAGGGTATATTTACTAATTCCTGCCTTGCTGCATCTTGGGAAGTCCCGTGTTGTCAAATCAATGGTCTCCTGGTGGTAATGAGTTAGCTGTAAGGAGAAAAAAAAAAGGGGGGGTGGGCAGCTACAGTTGGCCAACTCATCAGTTTGGGGCACAGTGGAAAACATCAAAAACTGTTAAGCTAATGCTGGTTTAGTTCCTTCACCTCCTTAGTGAGAACATGTGCTCCCCTCCCTGCCAGTCTGGGTGTGTGTGTCAACCTGAATGCTGTAAAACTGAACAGACAAGCAAGGCAGGGAGGAAAGTGTTTCTCCATGTGTGTACATTATGACAGTGCACGCATGTTTTTGAACATAATTAAGGTAATCATGAGAGCAAATGGTGTCGTGTGACTGTGTTTGTGTGTGTACATACACATCGGTTCTGGTTGCTTTAATACTGACTGACAGTCACTAAGCAGCTTTTCAGTACCTTGTCCTTTAGTCTCCTCCTCAGCCTCTCCTTTGACGACTGCAGAAGGCAGATTTTGGGCTGCTCCGACTGGCCCTCGCTTGCCTTTCCACTTTGCGGTGTGTTGGGAAGTTCCTTGTAAGCCGTCAGATCGGCGAAAGCGGTCGTGTTTGCCGTCAAGTCAGATTTGGGTGACTCACTGAGACTCTTGCTGCTGCAGTCTAGAAGAGGTCTCATGTGCTCGTCACCCAGTTTTACATTCTCAGTCTCTTTGTCTTTGGTTGTTCTTGGGGGTACTCCTTTATCACCCGTAGTGTTTGTCTGTCCATGCCCCTGACCTTTCTGATTGTTGTGCCAACGCCGGTTCTGGCTGTATCCGTGATGTAAGGGCCCTCCTTGGCGCTGCCCATGTCCTCCTTGATACTGGCGTGGGGGCCGACCGGCGCAAGTGTTTCTGTTATCTCCCTGTTCTGCTGAACTCTGCTGTTGCTGGTTTGGGGACTGCTGCTGGTTTTGATCCCTCTGCTGCTGCGGTGACTGAGGCTGGTTCTTCCCTCCTCCGCCACCTCCGCCGCCGTGAGGCCGCTGCTGTCTCCTGAAATGAGGGCAAGTTTTAGGTGCAGTGTAATGAAATGGCAGCCGCCTTATATCTTAAACGGCTCTGTGACACTGTGACGCACCTTCTCACAAAGATCAAACATTATTCTTGTGAGAACCTCTACACAAAAGCACTAACCCACCACTACTGAACTACATCTAGAAAATCAAAAGCCCAGTGCCTGCTTACATGTGGACGCACAGTGTGTCTGTGTTTTCCTGTCCTGCATTGCTGTGTCCTTTTGCTGCACTGGCTCTGGGCTTGACAAGCCGCTGACATATGGTCCAAGGGATTAGTCACCCTGGCACTGAGAAGGCAACCTATTATTTGCCTCAGCCAGTGAACTAGCTCAAAGGGTAGCAGCAGCTAGCAAGCATTTGTTCAGATATGCCTAACTGTATCCATGTAGGCAATTTAATGTTAATTTTTGACTGATGTGATCTGTAAATGAAGGAAATGAAATCAGTATGTTTAGCATATTGGTGCAGGTGGTTACAAACTTTACTTGCAAATGAAAAGTAGCTAGTTGCCAAATATTATAAAATAGCATCTATACGGTTGTTTGAGGTAAGCGCTTATTGTACATGAACCCAGTAAAACGTATACAATGAAACGTCATGGTGGGGGGGTGGGGCGGCTGTAGTTCAGGAGGTACAGCGGGTCATCTACTAATCAGAAAGTCGGTGGTTTGATCCCTGGCTGCTCCAGTCTGCACGTCAAATATCCTTTGGCAACAGACTAAAACCAAGCTCCACTCAGATGTATCCTTTGGAGTATGAATGTTAGATAGAAAGCACTAGCGTATAAAAAAACAAAACAAAAAAAGGATAAAAAAATATTCTCGTGTGAATGAGGCAAGTTGTATAAAGCACTAAGAGTGTTCAGTTACAGTAGAAAAGTGCTGTATAAGGACAATTTAAATAATAGCTTAAATCTGGAACGTCAAACTCATTTTGCGTACATGGTGGGTCACGCCACTCACCTGTCTGTCCATGTATAGACGATTAACTACAATCGTCTATACATTGAATCACTCAGATATTTCATGATATTATTTATTTATATTTCGTTTTTCTACACTTCTGTAGTTGAAAGAAATCTATCAGCGTGACTCTTTGGGCTTAAAATGTAGTTAATAAATGTGCAAAGTTACAGAACAGAAAGTTTTTGTTAATTCACAGAAAATGTCCTCTTTTAACTTTGAAACCATTGTTTAAAAAAAAGCAATAAACCCCAGAAGTATTTCTCTCACTGAATTTTTTTTATCTATTACTTAAATACTTTAAAGTCGTATAAATGGCTGTGGAGGAGGTCTGTCAGCAGCAAACTCTGTAAAACTTACGAAAACACAGTTAAATGTCTAAAATTGACATTGTCTTTCTAATTTTTCAGAACCATCCAGTGGGCCAGATTGGAGTCTCTGTTGGGCCAATTCTGGCCCCTGGGTCGTGTTTGACACCCCTGGCTTAAATGGTTCAGTTAACTGGTAGTGGCACGCTGATAGGCATAGCCTGTTAAGTTACTAAATAAATTACAAAGCACAACAGACTTTATGTTGGATTTAAGGCTTAGTTGTCCAACATTTGCTGGATCAAGGTTGTCCTGTGAGGATTGGCTTTCTCTGTTTTAAAGCAATGTAAACTGAAATATTCATGGTTTGGAGAGAGAGTTTTGCGCATGATATTTAAGGATTTTTTTTTCTACAAATAATTGATTCCATCAGTAATAAAAAAACAATTAGCTTTTTTTCCTGTCTGGCAGCTCTCTCGGTAAAGGAGTGTTTGTGTGAACGTATTTATCGTTTTTGTGTGTGTGTTCATGTGGTTTATGTCTCGCCCGGCCCCCCTCCTCCACTCTCTCTGGGAGGTTGGAAGACAGTTCATCTTGTGAGTCTCCTCTGCCAAAGAGCCTACCTTCATCACTTCATAAATATTCCGTCTCAGCCTGATCTGCGTTGGCCTGACGTGTTTGTAATCGCACTGCTAATTGAAGCAGTTCCCTCTGTAAAGAAAGACAACGCCTCTTTCACAGGAATGATTTTCTTTTACATCAAAAAATTACCCCGTAACTTTTCCTGTATTAAAAAAAATATTTATTTTTTTAACCAGTGCTTTATTTTAATCACTAAATTATCTGGCTTATGGTCATCGTGAGCGACCAATTTAACAGTCCCCGCTTTGGTGTCCAAGTTATTTTTTACATTTTTGATTAGGCTGAGCTGTAAACAGATGGTCCTGCAGTTCTATTTTTGAGAGAGTTTACACCTGAGGGGTATTTACTGTAGGTTTAAGACTAAAGAATCAGATGCCTTACGGATTAGGACTTCAGTGCTAATGATGAAATCATGTTTAATTTGCTAAGCTGCTCACTGCAAGACAAGAGAGCTGAGAAATATGACACGTCTGTCTTTGACACACATACACACACACACACACACACACACACTCTGATTTGATTCATTAGATATTTACAGTAGCTGTTAGTTCAGGCTCAACACTAATCCATTCTGATCTACTGGTGTTGGTGATGAGGGGTGAAAGTGAGAATGAAATAAAATGTAAATCATATTTAATGACTGTGAGCTCTGCGGTAGAGAGAGCGTTGCTCAGATTGACCGCCCATCAGTCATATTAATGCCAAAGAGATGTTTGCATTAGGGATAAATGATGGGGCCACTGATGAAATTTCATCTCGCACTGTCTTGTTACTTGGAAACAGACCTGACTCTGGCGTGACCGAGCTTCTAATGAAATGAGAAATTACTTTTTTTTTTTTGTCTGAGGATGATGAGTTTGGTAATATGAAGGTATTAACCGGTTTAAATTAGTGTTTGATGTTGCCTGGCGGGCTCCACCTCCTCATTATATGGAGCCATTTGTGTGTTTGATTGACCTCTGGGTGTCTTGAGTAGAATCAATCAAATGCAATTTCCACCGTTTTGTACTCAGGTCTTGTTCTGAGCATCTTTCTTATGTTGTCACTAACCTGGCGCAGACTTGACGCTTTCCCCCTGGGCCAGTAGGCAGAAGTACGGTTAACTGGTCTCGGGTGAACTGATCAAATGCTCTACAGACAAGAGAGATGGGGATGCCACAGTGCAGGTGATTGGAAGGATGGATGAAGAGTTGAATACAGTGGCAGCACCGTTTGTAGAAAACAGCAGGGGGGATTTAATGGATAGCGTAAAAGGAGGAAACGGAAGGTTTTAAGAGAAGGAAAAGCAAAGCGGTAAAGAGGGAAACAAACAAAAACTACAGGTTGATAATGGTCATAAAATCAACAGGCACAAAACTACAGAAAGAATGCTAAGGTAACTAAAAAGGTGAACTTAATGACCAGACATGATCATTGGAGGAGGCAGGATGCTGATGATCAATCACGGCTGTTGCTGTGCACGGTTATGTGGATGAAGAATTCATGGAACCACCGGCTGACCCAGACTGGACAATTGATCGGCCCAGGGGAAAGACGCCCGGAGGCCAGACGAGTCAATAACGGGGCCAAAGCTTCATAAAGAACACAACACGCTGGCCTAATGGACTGTGGGGAGATGGGTTTCGACTGCTTGACTGAATATTTGCATTGCTAAGTCTTGAGATTTAAAAGTCCAAAGCATACTGAGCGTGTGTGCATACATGCATGCAGAGTTTTTATTGATTACACCCAGTAAAGCAGGCATTTCATGGTGGGTGCAGAAGAAGCAGCAGACCTCTTTCAGATGTCTGTCACACATGTTTACAATGCACACACCATTTTCTGTATAATGCATTCATTGTTGATGATTTTTTTAAAATAATTTTGCAGTTTCCATCACTCTAAATTTGAGAATCACTCACATTAAATAATTTTGACTATTTAGTTAACAAAACAAAAGGAAAACCCTCAAAATATCGGCTATGGTTAATAGGAGGGTTATCAATTATTCACTATGGCTCATTTACCTGATGCTGGCTTAAAATGACATGTCATATACACTCACAGGTCACTTTATTATTTAAAACTTGCTAGTATTGGGTGTAACCCCTTTTGCATTTTCCCTTAATTCTTTATGACACAGATTCAATAAGTTGCTGGAAACATTCCTCAGAGACTTTGGCTCATATTGGCATGACGGCATCACACAGTTGCTGGAGTCTGTGCATGCCATCTGAGTGCAGTGAACTCATTGTCATTTTCAGGAAACCAGTTTGAGATGATTTCATGTGATTGGCTGATTAGATATTTGCGTCGAGCGTGTGGCCGGTGAGTGTGTGCATACACGCGATAAAACAGGTGCTATAAATAATCGCAGTCGTTTTGTAATGACAGCTCTTCAAAGACATCGCCAAGTGCCACACAATGCATTTACTTCACAGGCTTAATGAGTCACTGAGCGGGGATAAGCCCTGATATGAAATCGTGAGTTCACCAGGGCACATAAGGCTCGTACTAGAACTGAGATGTATAAAAACGGAACCAGGCCTACTTTCATCTTCATAAATCTAACAGAAAGTGTGCGTTTCTGTTTTTCTTTTTTGTATTTTTTTTGTTGGTACACAATTTCATGCCTCTGGCCCCAGATGTTTACTCATATTTGAGAGCATACAAATCATAAAGATAGCGGAACTGTTAGTCATTGCGGTGACATTTAGTCCCACACAAACTGTTTTTAAATCGTTTCAACTCTCAGTTCAGCAGCTCAAATGACACTTAACAGGTTTCAGCTATGATGTGTTGTAAATGGGATGTTTATCATCCTCGATTAGTGTTTGTTGTTTGTTTAGTCGTGAGTACAGTTAAAGTGATGCTGTGGACAAAGTGCACTTCTTCCAACAAAGACAAAATTAAGTCAATATGTGTAAAAAGCTTCTTGTTAATTAATAGAATTTTTTTTTTTAAAGAAAGACTTTAAGGTATGATGAAGAAAGGATCTGCTATGCTCTTTCTTTGCCCCCTTTTTCTGTTTTGAAGCAGAAAGCGGTAAGCAGCACATTCCAGTAAATCACAACTAATTTCAGCCCTGCTTGACGTGCCTACTAAAGTAGAAACACATGCACTACCTCCCCTTTCTTTTCCTTCCTGCCACAGCCAGCCTACACTTTTCCTTTACTCAATCTCTCAGTCCCACTCTGTTTCTCTTTCTTGAGCTTTGTTCAGCGCAGCCTGCATGCCTCGGACAAATAGACAAATGATCAATAGTTATTTCCATATTTCAACATCTTCTGCTTTTAGCACGTTTGCTCATGTTTTTTTTCTCTTTCGCCTACCTCAGCTGTGTTGAGACATTAGACAAAATAAATCACTAAATACAACGTTTGCATTTACAGTGACTGCTGGTGTTTAGTTGCACAATAACAGGAAAAGATTAGCATGTTTTACAAAGAAACAAATGTGGTAAATGCATTTGATGAGCAGACACGTTAAGCTTTATAGAGACCTTTCACTTTGTTAACTTGCTTACTAACCACATGTTGGTAGAAAGGCTTTTAGCTTTGCAGGAGGTTGCTCTGTTGGCATGACCCAATCATATCACTTTTTTTTCATTTCTCCTGACCCTCTACATATAAAATCTGCACCTACTTTTAGCCATTCCACTTTAACTCTACTCCACACTCTTTTCTCTCAACTCCCGGCTTTTCTTTTTCATTAATAATTGTATTGTTAAAAAATAAATAAATTGCTTTCATGTTTGGCTTGTGAGAACAATCACGGCTTTCTCCTTTTTGCTCCCTGCTTTTCCAGCTCTACTGATCCCCATTTCATGTCCGCCCAGCTTTTTATCCTCTGCCTCATCCCTCATTTGACATGTTTCATCCTTAGCTTCATTTTGCTTTCTGTGTGATGCTTCTTTTTAGTGTAAAGCAGTTGTTTACTGAGGACCAGGGGGAAAATATGGAGTTAAACTACAGTGAATTAAGATGATTTATGAGGGGCAAAATAAACCATAGTTTTCTAATGTTACTGGGCCGACCTGTAGTTTAAAGAATTCCTCTTGGGTCTTTTTTTTGCTGTTAGCTATTGATAAACATTAAGGCACATTCATTTTTAATCAACTTCTGAAGTAGGTCAGGCCAAAAAAGATTTACAGACAGTTTAGTTCCCAGTAACACAACCGGGTCAGCAACCCTCAGTCACTAGGGGAAAGACCCCTGACAACGATAGGTCATTAGGGAAAAATGTGTCTGGTTGGTGAGTAGTATGCAGAGGTTGCCAGTTGTCACTAGGTAAAATTGATAGCAAAGAGACATACAGTGCTGCCCTCAAGAGCTCTTTGTGATTGCTTTGGTTATTAGCAGATTCCCGTAATCACCTGTAATCTGCATGGAAGATGTTGACTTGTCTGCAAAGCCCCCCCCCCTAGATGTTTCCAGAGGGCTGCCTCTAGGCTTGTGCGACTGTGCGGCCTTAGGGTGGTAGCTAGTATCACTGGCATCAGACCCATAGTAGCATGATAGGTTCGATACTTTGTATGGAAAGTGAAAATCACAGTGGTTTAGTGGTCACAAAAATGTGTTCAGAATTGAAGGTAATTCATCTCATACAGTATGATACACTGGTCTCCCTTACACAAGCTGCCTTTGCAGGTTAAAAATATCAGTATTGGTAATACTGGCCATGTATTGATAATGGTATCGGATCAATACCAAAATTTACAGCATTTCACAGCACTAGTGGTAGCCTGGTGGCACCTTTGACAGCATGCACTCATCACTGAAAGAAATTTAAGGTTTGAAAATGTGAATACACTTTCAGAGTCCACCATCAACAAGTCATTCAGCAGAAACCTGTTTGCCTAGTAATTCATTGTGGTTAAATGTAAATGAATGTAAATTTAACAGAAGCTTGTGACAAGGTTTTCTTGTCAAGATGCCTCGTCGTGTTTAATGTTATTCCTTTTCAGTTGGATTCAGGCGCAGATGGCTGAATGCAAATGTTGGCGGCAGATTCAAATTTATGAGACGAGAGTTGTGTAAATTCCTGACAATTGTGCATAAACCAGACACAGGCCAGCAGTTTCTCTATGTAAAACTTCCCCTAACGTGTAAGCTGTAAGAGTGCCTGGGAGCAGAGTGCACGAGAAAACAGGATGGTCTTGTGTTAATATTTCCCATTTAAAAACAAATAGACCAAAACCCAAGCAAACTGATGTTGGTCCATATTTTTGTTCTTTTCTTTCTGCCAAGCCTTCGCTGCTGCGGCCATCAAACATAAATACAAAAGCTCTGGACAAAAGTAATTATCCTCTGAGCTTAAAAACAAGGATAAAAGTGCTTTTTTTCCATTTGTATTAGAGACAATTTCCTCTTTTTAAACCACAAATACAATCACAATATTTTCTCTTTGCTGGTCGCTTAGCAACTGAAGAACGGTTTTCCCGTGACATCAGGGCAGAGAGTGAGAGAGAGCGATTTTTTTTCTTTTAAGGACCTGGTTTCAATGAAGTCAGACTTGGGTGAAATTAGATTTCATTGTATACAATTAAAGTAGATGTGCCAGTGTGAAACCTAGTTTGGACTTGAGATTACTTGAACATTGTAGGCACAAAAATGAGTGACTAAAAAGCTGGCACTTTTTTTATTATAGAGACCTAATCAACTTGAAAATGGAGGAGAAACTTGTCTCCTCCGTGCATTTTCTTTATTCCCCGTCTGCAGTGGAGTGTGGAACCTGCATTCCTGTCTCAACTTTTCTTTGGATGGGGAGAGATGTCAGGGCTATGGGCCTGACTGCACTGACACCAACACAGAAAAATGTTTCCTCTTACTGAGGTAGGTGTGTGTGTGTGTGTGTGTGTGTGTGTGTGTAGACTTACCGTCGGTCGTTCCTCCTGCGCCGGAAGAGCTTTTTGGTGTGTGCAATCTCAGCCTCGTTAGGAAGGGGTGGGAAGACCTGTAACAAGACAAATCACAGAGTAAGAGTAAGCATCGCTGCTTTCAAAACTAGCATAAAGAATATACACATGACTTCAACAATAATCCAAATAAAACACACTTGAGTTGCTTGTATGTGCACAAATGTCTACATCTACAGTTAGAACTGTCCTTGATGATGATTTTGATTTTAAGAGAGTGAAGAGAGTTAAGAGTGTTGAACATCTTGTTCCTTTCCACAGGATGACTAAAGTACTGCTACAAGAATTCTCACAGTAATAGTTGACCAACAATTTTTATTCAGGCTTGTGTGACTGCTGGAACTTTTTCCACAGTACTTGTAAGTCATGGAGGAAGTCCCCCCCACCCCACCCCCACGTTTGTGCTTGTGATACTTCTGAAATGAGGAAGTATCGAAGTTCATAGAAACCTGTTTTCAGGATCTTTATGAAACTGTCCTTCAAGGTACATACTCACTAGCACAAGATAAGACACAAGCATATTTTTTTCAGAAAAACCAGCGCCCATTTTTAAAAATCTCAGTGCCGCATCCGCTGTGCAAACAACTTCTGGTTTTAAAATTGAACAAAATTGGGGGAAAATGGACCGGGAGTGGAGCCTATATGTGCTGGAGGAAATACACTGAAAATTTCCTTCAGAAAATGAAGCTCGCAATTTTCTCTCAGCCGGATACTTGAAGTATTCACAGAGAAGGTGATGTAGGAAGAAAATAAAGAAACAGGATTAGAAGAAAGAAAAAGACCACACTCATGCTGTGTGTGAAAAGCTAGGCTGTGAGTCTGTGCCACAAAAAACATTTTAGCATTACAGGTAGGCAGCTCCGCACTGTAAAATGGCAGCTCTCTTACCCTTGGAGGGTCCATAGCCATGGGACTTAAAGGCCTCTTAGCATCTGTTGGTTCATCAGCAACCAATCTAAATTTAGGGTTGGGTTTTGTTTTAGCCACATGCTAAATAGGGACTATTTTAGAAATTAGAATATGCTACATTTCAAATGAAGTGTCACATTTTGGCATAAATATTTTTCTGTTAAAAGCTTTTCTATTTAGGTGTTACAAATAGGAGAACATCCATCGATCTTGTCACTCTTAGCTGATTCAGGGTCACAGTGGGGCTGGAGCCCATCTCGGCTGTCATGGGGAGGAAGGCAGGGTACCCAGGGCAGGCTGCCAGATGGCTAACACAGACAACCATTCACGCTCACATTTACACCTACAGCCAGTCACCAGTTAACCTTGTTTGCATGTTTTTGGACTGTGGGAGGAAGCTGAAATACCCTGAGAGAACCCACACAGGCACAGGGAGAACATGCAAACTGCACTCAGAAAGGCACCAGTCTGCCATTTGATTCAAACCCACTTACTGTGAGGCCACAATGCTTATCACTGTACAACTGTGCTGCCCCAAGAAGAAGAATAAAAAGAAAAAAGAAAAGAAAAATATCCTAATATCCTGTTGGACATTAAGAGTATATAACATACACACTCTGTTGGCGATATCTTCTATCCTGTCATTGCTGCTGTTGTTCCTTTGCCAACCACCAGCTCGCCCCAACCAGCTGTGGTGTATTACTGCCCTTCCCCGAGCCTGGTTCTGTTGACGATTTCTTCCTGTTAAAATGGGTTTTTTCCTTCCCACTGTCGCCACTGGTGCTTGCTCATTAGAGGAGGTCTGATTGTTGAGGTTTTCTCTCTAGTGCTGTATGGTCTTTACCTTATAATGTAAAGAGTCCTGATGAGACCGTTGTTATAATTTGGTGCTATATGAGTAACCTAAAACTGAATTGAATAGCTGTTCCATCACTGTAGAGTTCTCATTGGCCATGAAAATAAAAACAGAAAAAAAAATCCCTTTAAGGCATAAGCCATCTCTCTTCGGAGCTCCCTGCTGGGCAGTGATCCTCAGGGAGTTCCTGGAACTGTTTGATCCACCTATAGTATGTAGAATTGTCCTTGAAGATCTCTTTGATCGGCTGCTTCAAACATCCTTTTCATTTCCAAAGGATGGCTGAACTATTACCACAGTAATAGCTGAGTGAGAGTTATTGATTGTGATTAGTTTTTTGCAGGCATGACTTTGACAAACTGTACAGTAATAGGATGGCTGTGGCGAAAATCCACTGCCTCATGTCATTCACTGCAAAGAGACACACTCAGTAATTTACTCAATAATGACCAGTACAGTGGCTTTTAGTGTGTGTGTGTGTGTGTGTGTGTGTGTGTGTGTGTGTTTATGCACTCTGGAATCATTAGAAGTTGAGCACCATCAATCATCATACAAATATATTAAAATGAAGCCAAGTGTCTAAAACTGCATAAAAATGGATAAGAGAGAGACAAAAGTTATTATAAGCCTCTTTTTTATTGTACCAATAACTGAACTCAAATATATTCTGTTTAAAATGTAATAGGAAAGAGGAAAGCAGGATATCCTCACCTTGTGCAGGTGAAAGCAGCAGAGATATGAAAACAAACAACAATTCATTGAGGGACGAGGAACAGTTATTAATGTTTTTTAGTTTAAATCAAGACTTAACACTTCCCAGGGTTTTAATAAATAGCACAAGGTGCCCTGCATTGGAAGCGACAAAGTATAATCAAACAAATAAGAAACATGTTTTTACAGTTAGTTCTAACATGGATATTTCCAATGCACACTGTGTTGGATGTCTTACTTATACAGTTCACTTCTTGTGAAAAAGACGTAAGACTGTCTGCCATCCATTAAACATCAGCCCTGTCAGTCAAACATCATCATTTCATCATTATGCGCTGTTACCATGGTTACAGGCAGGACTAGCGCATGCAGTGTGCAATAAGAGTGAGTGCAGGAGGCTTGGTACTCCTGGTTTCAGGTCCCCCACCCTCATTTTCAAGTACATTGTGTGACACACACACACACACACACACACACACACACACACACACACGTATTTTCGAATTTCTGTGTCCCAGGTGTTGTATGTTTGGTTTTCCTTACAGGTACAGCAGTTGGTGACACGTTATGCATTTCTATTTGTACTCTATCCTGTCCTGCCTTAGACATTGGCATAATGTATACCACATATAATATAATAACTTTAAATACAACGACCAGAAATGAAGAAATAGTCAGATAAACCCTGAACAAGGGGAGCTGATTCAGAATTTATAGAGCTGAACCTGGCTCTATAATGCGTTTGGCACAACAGTGCATTCAGATCATAATTCTGATTGCAAAAGCCACCAGACAGGACAGGATTTAAAAAAAAGTGCATGAGGCAGAGCGCTGTGCAGTGTTTGGTCAAATACTGTATAATACTGTATCATCATTTTCTTCTTCTACATAAAAGAATGACAAAAAAATACGGTCGATATTAAATCTCAAAGATTTTTTTGTCTCATGACCTGATAATATCGACCGTATAATGACAATAATGCCTTTTGATAATGATCACATGAGCACTTTTAATATTTTGTTCCCTTTTTTTTTTTTAGTTTACCTTGGCATGAAACAGGGCTCTTAGACTTTTTAATTCAATGCAAAATAACTAAAATATCAGTACATTCCTGCCGTTATTTTAATGTTAGGAATACATTTAATGAATCATCTATTTACACAATAGATCATAAACAGCCTGAGACGTCGAGAAGCTAGAACAATTTAAGAATTGGTCTCAGTTGTTGTTTTTTTTTTGTTTTTTTTTTAAATTCAGTCTGCAGTCATTATAAAGACATGCATCAGCATGGCTCCTTGGCTTGCTTTGGTAAGTCTGCCGTAAAACTGATAATGACTCATACCTGCGGTTTGGATAAATTTAAATTTTCAGACAACCACGTGTGACATGATGCATTCTTAACAACTTCTAACACAATATGTTCTAGTGCACAAAACAAAAAAAACATCCTCCCCTGTAGTTTTTTTTTGTGGCACACTGCGAAGTGATCCAGTCAGTGCACTAGACTGGATACCCTGGCAAGCCAATTCTGGTTTTGGTATATGTATGACCGCTCTGGTTTAGAAGTAACACGAGAGAGAACTTTTTAGAGCTGCAAGCTTTGGTTTCCATATATTACAGAAGAGTGAGATAAATTGAAAAGAAAACTGTGTTACAAAAAATGTTTGTCAGCGGTTCTTTAGTCCTGTAGTGACTTATGCCAGCCTTTCATAAACTTCCTCCAAGGACAGTGAGTACACACAGAGTACAGACCATACCTGTACAGCATCGCACTGCAAACTCAGACATCATCTAAAAACACTCCGAAGAAAAACTGAAGAGCCCAAAATGATTATAGTTGAATTCTGATGGAAATCTGAGATGCAAATAAACACATGCTTTTAGCCTCTAACAAACTAACCCATATTATAGACTCTGCCTTTGTTCCCTCATAATTTAACTCTTCTTACCACTGGAATGATCTGAGAGGGAGGAAAACGGAGAAACTGTTGCATGTTTAGCTACTGTAGTTCTCCTCTAGGATATCATTAGCTATAATTCTGCCCTCAAATGGTAACCAGATGACAGTGAGTGCGCGCGCACACACACACACACACACACACACACACACACACACACACAAGAGCAAACAATTTCCACCACATATTTCTTAAACACTCTACTTGCTGCATTTCCTATTGCTAGTTAGATCTCATTAGAAAGCGCTATTAATATAAAAATAGAACAAAATGTGAGTAGTTTCTATCAGATAAGAGAGACGTGATCGAGAGACAGGAAACGAGAAATGTAGAATTGCCTATCAAGCAGCTGCATGTGTGAATATGCTATCTGCAGGTAGCAGCCAGTTTAAGGCAGATCAAAGTGAGGACCCATACTGTCCTGGTCCCCAGCCAGAAGACCTCTCACCTCGAGGCAGGCCGTGCTAGCCCTGTGGACGTGACAAGGGTGGAGGGGAGGGACTGCCTGCGCAAGAGCTGATAGAAAAGGAGACTGATTTTTATCTGTGGATCTGATCACATCTGTATGTTTTTTAAAACAAATGTAGCTCTTCAAAGATTACG